CAAGTTCGTCTCATCAAATTTTTGAATGTCAAGTTTTACCAATTTAATGTGAACGTCGTTCTAAGTTGGAATTAAAAAATTCATACCTCTTCAGTGTCCAAAAATTCTTTAATAATCGCTTCCTTCAGTATTGTATTAGGCCTCCACTTATACATTCATGGACTCTGTGTCGTTTTATACCTACGGCGTCCAAACTTTTGCTCGATCTGTGAAAATGCTTCATATATCCAATACTGCAATATAATTACAGATAAATGTCGATATATATAATATATTTTTTACAAAAAAATTATACAGAATATGGGAACAATTAGAATAGAAACACCACACTTAGAATGCAAGTAGACAGCCTTATACTGCATACTTACATTCCGTTTGTTGGTTCTGTTGGATCCTTACTATTTGTTCCAATTGCGCCTCTTTCAACGAATTTAATAAAATAAAATATACTGTATGGCCCCATGGATACGTAAGGAAATCATCAAATGTTCAATCATGCCCAAAGTTCTATAATTAATTTGTCTTGAAATTGGTTTCAACACACACTTCATCAACATAATTAGTCCCAACTTAAATTTATTTTCTTCGTCTTCACACGTATGGAAAATTTCAAAAAGCATTCTATTGCTAATTCTTTTTACCCCATTAAAGTATTGATTTATAAGACGATCGTTACTATAGTCAATTTCAATGGATGATTCATGACAAGGTAGTCCAGTAATTAGGCAAAATTCTTCGAACCTGGCAATATGGTCATCTAATCGTACCCAAAGTTCATTATTTTTGCCACAATGTACAATTCGCATTATAAATTCGTGTATCAACTTACCACTAAATTGTTCTTCTTGTCCCCTGAACATAACTCCGTAAACAAATCCACAAAAATTACTACACAGTAAAGAACATACAAAATTTTTAATGTATTCACGATTTGAATACTAGACGATGGTAGCAGAAAACCATTAATCTGGAGATAGAACGTATTCTAAAGACATCTGTGTAAATTACACAATAATTAATATTTTCAAACAAATATATTATTTTGTTTAAAAAAACCCAAAATACAAAATGAACTTAAAAAAAGTGTAAAATTGATCGTAAATAATATTTTTAAACAAATTTATTTTTATTTAAAAAACCACAACCTAAGACCTTAAAACAATAAAACAGAAAAAGAAAAAAAAAGAACAACAAACATTTCTCCGTGATAGTGTCACAATCAGTGACACTGTCACGGAGACATTCTCCTTGTGTGTTTGTGACACTATCACGGAGACATTCTCCGTGTGTGTCACGGAGATGCAACGACACTTGCGTCATCTGAAACGATTTTTTTCGACAAAATTATATTCTCACGAACGCATTTTTTTATGACAATTTACTATTAATTAGCACAAATCTTGAATACAAATTTTGATTTGCTTACTTTTTTCGATCTAATGAGCACCTTTTTGAAGTAAATATGTGAGAAGCTTTTCAAGTAAATGTCTTTCCGAATGAATGTTGCCAGTGAGACTGTAGTTAAAAGTATGAAGAGTGAATGAACGTGAAATGTGTGGATGGGGGAGTGAATGTGAAGATAATGAGTGATTGTGATAAGGAGCTTCTACATAAAAGTGTGCATGCATGTGACAAATCCTTGCTAATTGTGTGGAGAGGATTGAATGTCAGTAACAAATTTGTTGTGTTATGAATAATTGAGTAAATGGTTTAGATGGATTTTGTATGGGAATATATTCTCTCGTTGTTGTGTTGTGAACTTTTTTTGCACATTCGTATATATATCAATGACTTTTTTATACATCAGTATTGTGACTTGTTATCTTGCAACAATTGGAACGTTTCGAGAAATTGTAATTTTCTTTAATTTATTAAAGCTAACCGAGTTAATCAAAGTAATATGTATAGAGAGGTGTAATTGCATTACAAGGATCCAAACAGCTCCCACATTGTGATCGTGTCTGTGGTGTGTCACCATGTATGCATTGACAGTTCATGGTGTTCTCGACATTGGAAATATCGTTGTCAATATTTGTAAACGAAATAACTCGATAGGTGACGTGCGTATCTCAATTCTCGAGGTTCTATTTTATGTCCCAAAGTTATATATATTTCATCTGGTGCTATTGTGATCCAGATATTTGTGCGCTAAAGAAAATAAATTATTAAAAAAAAAAACAAAACCAAGACCAAGTAAATAGAAAATCGTGGGGAAATTAGGAGAATAAATGGGATAATGTGTCAAATTTATGGTGTTGTGGAAATGCATCCTGTTTTGGCAATAAGAGGCATGTAGGTGTTGACTTCTTTTTGGAGTGTTGACAATAAAAAAATATTTATGATGGAGAAATTTAAATTATTTATGATGACATGTGTATCATTGTCAAGAATACGTAAACGAGCAATTTTATCATAGCATATTGAAGTATTTCCCACACGATTTGCAATAAATTGACCGAAAATGGAATTTATCTTTTTGAGTTAATTTTTGCATAAAATGGTGGAATTCCCATCTTTGCCCTTGTTTGTCCTTATCTTAAATTTTTTCCACACACGCACCGATTTCATCAATGTGACAAAGATGAGGATAAGAAATATTTTTTTTTTTTTTT